TTTTATAAGCATATAACAGATTAGTAATTTATAGATATTTTTAATGAAGCTTCCTATGCTCATAATTTTTTGATTGATGTGTTTAAAACATTTTGTTCATCTTGTTAGTTTATTTAGTAAGTATGGCATTTTCACAAACTGTATATTAACACATATTTAGTATTTAATCAGATCATGATACAAATTTTTATTAGCCAATCATGTCAATTTGTATTTAGTAAGTAATTATAGGCAACACATGTCACTCCAATTAACAAAGATGGCCAAAAATTAAATAAGCAATAATCACTGTATTACTGTCTCTTTAACTTTCTTAGAATTTCAAAAAATAAAGATTTAAAATAAAGCATAGAAAACTAATTTAATTTAAATAACTTAAAGATCTTCAGATCTATTTGTAAAAATTTAATAATAAACAGCAGTTTTAAGGAAGAGTTTAATAAAGCAAAATAAACTATAATATCCTAATTTAGGTAAGCATTGAATCTGATAACTTTAAATGATAAACCTGGTGAAGCTTTTGTGCAGAGTTGTTAACAAGGCCAAAAGTAGCAAAGCTAAGGCCACAAGTTAAAAGAGTTTTGAGGTCAAGCCCAAGATTAAGAGTTTCAAGGCAAGACATACGAAAAGATTTTTATAATAATATTTGTTTTTATAATAATATTTTAATTAATGTTTTATGAAGTACAGATTTCACAAATACTTATTAGCAAATTATGCTTTTACTGGGGAGCTAGCTTTTACTGGTGATTTTACAGGTGAGCTAGCTAGTATCATAGTTTAACATTTTTCCTCTTTTTGATTCTAAACTTAAGATTCTTTAAACCTTTTATTTGCTGGTTCTGGTTGATATGAATAAGATTGGAAGACTTCTTTATTTGAATCGGTCTGTGAAAAAGATGGTTTAAAACGATTAGTTGGTTATCTATTAGGGCATATTAATGCATTAAACTATGTATTACATTTTATACATTTATTAAGCAACCAGAATAATAAAAGAGTAAAAATTGTATAAATATATATATTAGGGTGGCTCATAAAACAACATTTTTTGAAAATGTCTGATGGTACTCCCTAATAGTGTTCTATATAATAATTTAAAGCGAAATTAAAAATTTTTTTGAATAAAAAATTTTTTTAGGGGTTGCTTAAGACCCTTAAACATCAGATAGGTCCCTAATATTTTGAAAAAAGTTCTCTAAAAGCATATCATGTTGGGTCTCAAAAGAAGTGAAATTTTATAAAAATTTCAAAAATAATTAAAAAAATTTACACAAATTAAAAATGTTTATTAAAAAAAACTATGAAAATATGTACTTTTTTATTTTTTGTTAAAAAACAATAGTTTTTAATCCATAAAGTTTAAACTTTTAAATTTTATATAAAATGATTGTTGTTTTTGGATGTTTTATAAAGTTTCACTTCTTTTGATACCTAACATAATATGCTTTTGAAGAACTTTTTCTTTCAAAATATTAGCGACCTGTCTGATGTTTAAGGATCTTGAGCAACCCCTAAAAAATTTTTTTTAATATTACTACTTTCTAAAATTAATATTTATTACATAGAACACATTTAGGGGGTACCAGTATATATATATATATATATATGTATATATATATATATATATATATATATATATATATATATATATATATATATATATATATATATACATACATACATATATATATATATATATATACATATATATATATATATATATATATATATATATATATATATATATATATATATATATATATATATATATATATATATATATATATATACTGGTACCCCCTAAATGTGTACTATGTAATAATATATATTATATATTAATTACATAATTTTATATATATATTATGTATTAGTTATATAATTAGGACAAAATTCAATTTAAGTAAAAATATTATAATTAAATGGGTACCTGTTGCAGGAAAACCTCTCAAAGTATTGTAGGGAGATACAGCCTGTGGATGTGCACATTGCACCTAAATTTTATTACTTAATCTTCAATCAGTTAGTTTTCAAAGTTTTAATAGTTTTCAAAGCTCAAATAGTTATTTAAAATTACATTTATGTAAATAATAATTTGAATTCTCTAATAATTTTTTGAAAATTATGGAGAAAATATTATTCCTAAGAAAAAATAAAAACATGAAACAAGTATGTTAGACAATTAGTTAAAAAATGATCTTTAAATGTTGTTAAAAGCTGCGCTTATTGATCACAGCAATGAGCCAATCTCAAGCTATTGCTAGTTACATGTAACCAAAAAGATATAAAAAAAAAAGTCTGACAAATACTTTAAACTGTATCAACAGCTTTTATATAGAAAATGTACTGAACTTCAGAAAAATATTGAAAGAATAAAAAATGAAGCACAGGAATAGGCAGAAAATAGAAAGTAGCACTATTCTACGTTGGGTAAACATAAGCATATGTGCTCGGAATAGACTCATATACAGTTGAATACTATGTTTTGGGTTTGATGGAAATAATTTAATTTAATATTAAAAAAGTTGGCAGACTTTTTTTAAAAAATAATGTTGTTGCATCAACTAAGGATGTAGCAGCCATAATGAAAAAATATATCATTATGTTTGGTGTCATCTTTGCTATAATCATGTGCTGCAATTTCAAATTCTGAATTGTAATCAGATTGCTTAAGTACTCTGATTACAAGTTTTTGGTGAAGAAAGTGAACATGTTATGATGTTAAATATTGACTTTGATCAAATTATAACCAATTTAAGAGGTAATATAAGAATGTTTAAAAAATTGGCTTTAAAGTATTCTATTTTGCATCAAAATATAACTAAAAAAAAGTGAAAAAAAATTCAAGTTAAAATAAGACATAAAAAATAGATGGAATTATTTTAGTGTAATAATTTGATAAATTTTAATTCTATCAAAGTTTATTAATAAGTATTTAGTCAAATTGAACTTTGGTTTAATTGAATCCCATTTCAGAACATATTATTTGTGCTACAAAACCTTGTTGGAGTTCTCACACCAGTTGAAACTACCAATATTGAAATTGAGTAAAAATGATGCAAATCTCATAACAGAACATGAGCATGATGATATCAATAATGATGTTACCTCATCTGCACCTAATGCAGATTGAAGATCGTAGTTGGAGTGCAAAAAGAACTGTAAAAAAAAAAAAAGTTCTATTTCAAATCTAGAAAACACAACTGAAGTAAGAATTTAGTCAGATTCTTTCAAAATATGGTTGACAACCCTGGACATTTTGGTAGCATTAAATATTTACAAAAAATTTTATTTACTAGGGGCAAAGTAAAATCTGAAAATATATCTGGTCTCTATTAAGAACCGTTTTAATAAAAGTGTCAGTTTATCAATTACAAACATTAATGAAAAAATAAAACAGCAATAGGTTTAATTAAACACAGTTTTGAATTCTACACCATCTCAATTGCTAAAATATTGTATAAAGTCTTTCTATCAAATATGATATATCAGCCCTTGAAAAAGTTTAAAGAAGAGCAGCCCAAACAAGAAGTCTTTTACACCTAAGTTATGAATCACAATTAAAAAGGATTAATAATAAAATGCTAGAAACTCAAGGTTAAGAGGAGATTTAATGATTTGAAATTCTCTAATTATTTAATGATCTAATAATTTCGAAATTGTCAGCAGTTTATTACAAGTTAAATGGTGTACATCTGTATCAAAAATAATAATAAAACCTGAAGAGTTATTGGAACAATCTGCATAAAAAAGAAATTCTATTCTATTTAAAAAAGAATTAATAAAAGATTGTTGTTCATTAAGAGAGAACTTTATTCTTAATAGAATAGCCACTGTATAGAATTGTCTTCCTCAACTCGTTTCTCCGTGCAGCGGCCTTGTTCGTCAAGGTTCGTGTTTCAGAGTTATAAAGTTGAGAGAGGGTTATAGCCACAAAATAAGTAGCCTCCTCGTCTGTAGTGGTCGTCTCGGCCTTGAGGAGGTGAATTAAAATAAAAAAAAAAAAAAATCTATTGTGCTATCTACATCAGTGAAAGTATTCAAAAAAACGATTATAAAAATATATTAAAAGCATACATGAAGTCCCTGGCTGATATAGAGTGTTCTTATTACACACTCTCACTTCAAATAAACATTAACCCTTTTTTTAATACTAAAAGTATAATAACCAAAATCCATTTCCGGATATCGCAATTTTTGATTATTAACATTTTGCTCCATAATTTTGATTAAAATCTAATGGCTTCTTTATCCTCTTTTATTAACATTTTACCATAATTTACAACACTTTCACTTTAAGTCGTTACATAATTTACAACACTTTCACTTTAAGTCGTCACATAAATTATTCCTCTTTTATTGTTCTGGTTGCTCAATAAATGTATAAAATGTAATACATAGTTTAATGTATTGATATGTCCTAATAGATAATCAAAAATATTTTTGATACATTCAAGACATTCAATTAATTTCCCAATTTTTAATTTTTATAATTAAACAACTTTATCATTTTGAATTAGTTTTATTCACTGTATCTTTTTCAGGTATGTTGATATTAATGTGTATCTTTTTAATCCATTTTATTAAGTATCAATGAAACACTTTTAATATTATTGATTCCTATTATTTAATCAAAATTATAAAAGTTATCCTTGAAATTCTTTCTTATAAAATTTTTATTTTTTTAACAATTGCACTATAGCCCAAAAGCATGTTCAAAAAAATTATATCCTTAATCAATTTATTTGTAATATAAATATATTTTTTAATAAAATACAAAATAAAGTGCAATACAGATTGAATAGATTAAGAAAGGTAAAATTTGGCAAAAACTTTTTTAGTTTAAATATATTTTGATCTAATTATATGCCCAGCATAAAATTACAAAAACAAATGACAAAGAAACTATTTTAACCATAATATCTACTATTATTATACTTTTTTGATATACTACATATTATAATTACTTGTTTTGTTTAAACTTGTTTTTTTATGTTTAGGTTCAATTTGAAAAATTAACAACTGTTAATGGTATTGCACTTCAAGGTGATGGAAATTCTTGGAATAACTACATAAAAAAGTTTTCCTTAAATTATTCTCTCACAGAAAATGGTGATTTTGTTGACGGCCAGGTTTTAATATGTTTTTGATAAAAAAATAATTTATTTTGTGTGTGTTTTATGTTAGTTCATCAAAATTTTCACATCTTATTTAAATTGTCATAATTAAGGTAGTTATAAGTAGTGAGATGATAGGTTGAGTCTGAAAAAGAAGTACAGAGAAACTACACACAAGCTAGGGTCAGTTCAAGACACAAATTAAGAAGTGAGAGTGAGTGATAAGGGTTTTTTTGGAAAATGAGGCACAAATTTAAATATTTAAGTGATTGAGAAATAGAAACATTTTGGGCTTTATTGCCAGCAGAGTTAAGGATGCTAGAGCCTAGTTATTCAGTGAGATAAGCGTTTAAGTTGTTAATAATAGCAATATTGGCTAAATGTTAAATGAAAAAGAGTGTTGTTAATACTATTATATTTTACAATTGTTAATGAAGTCAGTTTCTTCTCAGACCTACCACAGAGTTTGGGAAACCTTTCTACCAGCTGGCTTTCTTGGTTCTGTTTTGTTTCTTATCTACATTAATGATCTTCTAGACGACCTTATATCTGAAGTAGCTCTTTTTGCTAATAACTCAACTTTATACTTCTGTCTTCTGACAAAATTCTTCTCTTTCTAAACACTTAGAATAGGCAGTCCATCTTGAATCTGATCTCACTTCTATAATAGATTGGGGCTGACAGATGCTTGTAAATTTTAACTCCAACAAAACTCAGTTATTTACTGCATACATCCATCACAATACTGTCAACATGCCTATATTAATAAATGACAACCCTCTCACTGAGTCTTCTTCTTTACGTCTTCATGGATTATTGTTTACTTTTGACCTTTCATATATTCGTATTCATTTCGTATTCATTTTATATCATCTTGTATAAAATTCGAATGGCGTAATGTTTCTTAACAAGGCCTGTAAATGATAAAGATCAAATAGATGCATAAAAGATACAAAAAAATTTTAATTATACTTTTAATACATTTTAATATTAAAGTTTAAACTAAAATAGGTTTTTGAAATCAGAAGTTTAATAATATAAATTATTACATAATAATCTATATTATTAAACTTCTGATTTCAAAACCCTGCCCTGTGACTATATCAATGATGAAAAAATACTAAATTAAACATCAATTTTGTAGTTATAACAGTTTAATTATTAAATAAAGTTTAATTATAATTGTTAATAACAACAATTATTTAAATATAAAATTAAATATTATTTGATTAAAATATACTGCATTACTATTCGAACCCGGTACTCTGTATTCATGTAATAGATACATCCATGACACAAGCCTTATTTTTTGTTATAATAATATTAAATTTACTTATTAGTCAAGTATCTTTAGAAGTTATTTATGCATTTAATTAATGTTTATTTATATGCACTGTTGATAATCTCACTTCATAGCACTAATACGGAGTCTAATGCAGTTTTTATTTATTGATATTCATAGTTGGTTGTTAAAAAAAATCCTATTAAAAAAATATAAAAGATGTAAAAAAAATGGTAAGTGAAAGTGTGTTTGAATGTCAAAATAGTAGTTTTCTGCAGCATTAACTGAAAGTGGTAATTTCCTCAATTATCCATGTTATAGAACAGAGCAATTTATACTCAATGACTCAACCATATATCAAATCCATTGCAACCATATATCAAATCCATTAGCATCTGCTAAGGTTGCATCTCTTTATTGTGCTCGCCACTTTCTTACTCCAGATTCTATTTTTTATCTCTATAAATCTCAATTCCGTCCTTGTATGGAATACTGTTGCCATATCTGGGGCGGATCTTCCAATGATGCTTATTCTCTTTTAGATAAAGTGCAAAACGAATTGTAAACATAGTTGAACCTGCTCTTGCAGCCAACCTGCAACCATTATCACATTGTCGTAATGTTGCTTCTCTTTCTCTTTCCTACAAATATTATAACTAGTGTCTCTTGTGCCATCTACTTAAATTCATTCTTGTGTTACTCGCCAATCAATAAGTCTCATCCTTTTTCTTTGACTATTCCTAAGTGCTCCAAAAACTCTTATATATTGTCTAGTTTTTTTTCTCAAACATCAGTTTTTTGGAATTTGTTTCCTTCATCTTGCTTTCTTGATTCATATAATTTGCAATCTTTTAAGTTGTATGTCAATACAACTTAAAAGGTTGCAAAAAGTAATGGTTGCTTGCAGCCGTGTTGGAAGCAAAAACATTGAAAAATAAAAAAAATAAACCATAATTACTACATTGTTGAAAAAAGATTTTATGCTTTTAACTAACACCAAAACAAAGAAAAATAGTTCACCAAAAAAAAAAAAAATAATTTGAAACCCTATGTGTGAATATGTGTTAGGGTGTACCAGAAACCTCCTTTTTTTCCAGGATACCTCTCAAGTTTTTCCTACTTTCTGAAGTTTATAAATATGAGGCTAAAAATAAACAAAAATTCAATATCAAAAGCGATAGCTGTAAAATTTAAGTAAACTCAATTTTTTGAAAATAAATGTCCTTTAAGTCAATATTTGATTATATTTTAAGAAAAATTTTTCCTGTTTTATATTTTATAATTTGTTTTTTATTAAACTTATTGATCTCTAAGTTGTATAATACTATTATTAGTGTGGAACTTATTTTTTATAAATACTATGGAACAGGCTTAATTATGCTTACGCCCTAAAAATTTAAAGGCTTAAAAATATGCTTAATCTTACAAAAATGCGTGCACTCTTGTAAGTCTTGTAAGTACAAAAAAAACACTTTCTTCTGTTCCTTTTTTGTTTTGCAACACAATACCTAAATTGAAGGGTTTTCATTAATTCAATAAAATTCAAAGTATCTTATTATATACTTTTTTTTTTTTAACAAAATCTTTTTTTTATAGAATCTATTTATGCTTATAAAAATAAATTAAAAAAATTGTTGACTGTGGTCAAACAAAAATGTAATTTTCATTAAGTTGTATTTAATGATGCTACATGTTTTTGAGATATGTTCTAAATACAAATTTTTTGTCATTTTACTAAAGATTAAAATATTTGATAAGATTAGGATTCTCCTCACAGGAAATACAACTTTTTGAAAAAATTGTCCAAATTGCTTTTTTGCTTCTAAAAAATGTTTATCAAACATTTTTGATACTAGGCTTAGCTATTGTCAGATTTTGACATCGTTATTTTCAAAAAGAGATCAACATTCAATTAACTCTAATGGATGTGCAATCTCTGATAATTTTGGATTTTTTGGAGCCAAATTGTTTGTCTCTTCATCTATCTCCTCATCAATCTCAGCACAATTGTTGATTATAATGAAATCCATAATTTTTCGATTGGTGATCTTAAAGGAGAAAAAAAAGATTATAGATGAACATGCCAATCCAAGAAGTTTTGAGCATATTAGTTGACAAGTCAACTTTTTGTTTCAATACTTTAAGTCTCCCCTCATAGTTATGCAGTTTGTTAATCGGACTCACCCCTTGTTAACTGAAACATTAAAAACAAAGTATAATTGAAGTAAGCAAAGTTATACAACAAAGTATGCAGCTTCTAATATTTAGATGCTTGATTGCTCAGTTGTATGTTTGACAGTTAGGTGGTTTCTTTTAATAATGCTAATGATGATCAGTAGGCTGCTTATGACTTTAAGTGTACATCTCAGTTCTCTAAAAAACATTTTTATCCACCAACTAGGTACTTTTGTTAACAATAAATACCTGCCCTAGTCCATTGCATTTGAAATATCAAATATTTTTTTTTAGTGATTTAGCCACTGCTGGCAATCCAATAATAAATACGAGCTGGAACCATTTGACAACTTCACCAAATACGCCAAAAAATATTTTTGATCAGCTAAAAAGTTATTCTTGAGTTCCATCAACTATTTTTTGATTAATGAACAACTTATGCGTCATGTAAGAAATCAAAGAAAAAGCTTTCAACAATACATTTTCAATTTTCTTTGCATCTTTCTTTTCTTCATCTGCCAAATTTTCATGAACTGCAGTAATTTGCAGCAATACAGAATGAAGCTCTACCAACCTGACGCCTTGCATATCTGCAGTCACTTTGGTGTGCTGCAACCAAATTACTGCACCCGGCATTCTATCATAATTTTTAAAAAAGTCTAAAAAGTCTTATATTGTTTCAAAAAAGTCGTCTGAAAATAAAAAAAAGTCTTATCTTATCAGTTTCCCAGACCACCATTTAGTACTAAAAATTTATTCTTGATAATTCAAAGGAGGTAAAATAGGCAATTTTTAAAGCATTTGAATTTTATATATATATATATATATATATATATATATATATATATATATATATATATATATATATATATATATATATATATATATATATATATATATGTATTTAAATACTTATTTAATCTGAATAAAATGCTCTGTTTTCAAAAAAAAAAAAAATTTTAATTGTTTCAAAAACCCTAAAAAAGAAGTTGCAGAATACTTCATAGAAAAATTTAATACTTCAATTTAATACATTCATATTTTAAAAATAAAAATATTTTTAATTATGTTTTTTTTTTAAAAGTTTTAAATCTACAGCATTAGGAGAGTATATAACAAAACACCATAATACAGCATTGATTAGTAATGCTTGTGTCATGGCTGGTTTTTCTGTGGCAAACTTTAATTGCTTTAAATCCACATCTTATAAAGCTGAGGAGAAAATAACAACTGCCTCTATACTGTAATGTTATCAGATTCACTAATGATCATACGCTTTGATGGAAAAATAATTAATAAAATAACAGAGGTAAAGTAATTAAAAATGATAGAATTACAATGTTGGTAAGGTTTGCTGAGGAAACAGACATACTTCTCATTCCTCTAAAAGAGCAATAGAGTTCATGGATTAACTAAAAGCAAGCTATTAATTGGTAAAATTATTTGGATTAGAAAATAAAATTAAATGTCTCTTCTTTGACACATCTTTGACAAAATGACAAGGTACTATCATGAACTTTACTTAATTTAATTCAGAAGTTTTATCATTAAATAGTTT